AGGATTTTTCACCAGGCAAATGTAGAGAGAAAATGTAGAGAAAATACTGGTGTTGGTTTAAACATTCAGAAATCCACATTGGTTGAATTGGTTTTAATGCCTAAACTTTGATTTCTTATGTGACCCAGGAACCAGCATCAAAATGAGGTGGGCTCCTTCGAGGAGATTGGCTTCGAGCAGTTTCTCATGGTCATGTCCCACTTCCGCCCTCCAACCTTGAAGACAACGGAGGAGGAGAAGGAAGCTTTGAGAAAAGAGAAGCTTCGCTGTAAGACACCGCACTTACCTTTTTAATAACCCTTATCAGATCCAAGGGAACCAGATATACTTATTGGCTGATTCTCATGTGTGGATCTCCAGCTCCTGGTCTATGCTTTCTCTCCTCTGTCTCTGATAAAGAATCTTTATCACCCAAGATATGCCACAAAGACTGTGGTGATGGATAGCTACATGTTTGAGCACTGGATTCCTCACTGCATGTCAGCTGTCACACTGGAGCTTGTAAGGTCACAGGTAGAATGTGATCATCATAGACACAGAGTCGGGACCCAAATTCAGCGTCAGATATCATAATACCATTAGAGCATAATCAGTTTTTTTATGATAATCTATTCCAGGAAGTATGTCAGGAAGAAAGAATTTGAATTCACATTGTTGGTGTATCTTTCCCTCAACCTGCCTTGTGTGGTTTGAGAATTTATTACAAACTCCAGGGAAAGAGTGTTAAAAGTGGACAGATGGGCACAATGTATATTTCTGGCCAGTTGGTTTGTGGCACCTAAAACAAAATTGCATTTGTGAATGTACACAATTTAAAGCACAATAGCATTATAAATTGATCAATAATCTGAACGATAGGGGCCTTAAGAGGGCCCTACATTCTTTTTTGTTGGGAGGCCTTGCTGTGTACAAGGCTCTGTGTAGAAATCTAGCCTGATATATTTGTGATTCCTCACCTGCAGTAATACATGTGTTTATCCACTGTGTTCATTGTTAAGCAGAACACCAAAGCAAATTCCTTGTATAAACCTACTTTTGTCAGGCCATTGCTTCTCTTGTTCTAAGTAAGATATTTTTAGCCCCGGGGCCTCCAAGAAGGTTAATCCAGCCATGCGTAATAGCTAGTTAGCCAGCTCATTTGTGAAAATCGGGGTGTGTCTCTAATTGCACCCACGGCTCTTGTGCAAAATGTCTTCAGATTCTGGTCTTACGAGGGAGGAGTTCTGTCTTGCTCATTCAGTGTTTTACATCACTGAAGCTGTTTATGGTACTCTATTGTAGTTGTCCTTGTTCGGCCAGTAATGGATGAGACCTAGAAATATTGCAAGACATTCAAACCTGTTGGGCATATTTTTTAAATTCTGTAACCAGATTAGATGTCGGATTAAACCGGTGGTTTCCAATCGTTTTGCCTTGTTTACTCTTATAACTTTCTTGTAGACTGAATGTGAGTTTAGATAATAAGAATACAAAATCCATGTGCCCTCTATTCTTAATTCTTAAAAAAAACTTTTTGTAAAAGTATCATTTATTTCCCCTGGTGTGTGTGTGGGGGGGGGACAAACATTGTAGCACAAAAACCCTAAAGAACAAGAGTTTGATAAAGGAGATAATTACCAGACGTCACTACAAAGTGTGTCTGTCTCCTGCGGTATCTCAAGACTGATCATGGCCAGTCCCGCTTGGCTTCACACACACCATTAATCGGAAATGTGTTTCTCTGTTGTCACCTGTTGTGTCAGAATGTTTTTCTTCCAGACACATTGTATTTTATTTTTATTTTGGGTGATCATAAATCAACACAACTCTCCCTCCTGTCACTGTGACAAATTTCTTCCTCAGGAACTTTATGGCATGGAGGGGGGGGCAATAGGAGCCACTTCGACATTAACACTGACATTCTATCGACTGTCCCGAAATAACATCGGCAGCACAGACGAAATGTCGTTGGACAAGGAAGCAAATTGTTATTTTTCCTCGTTAGTGCCACAGGACTGTTGAACATGAAGTACGGTCGTAGGACTGAATCTTGCAAATGTCACTGTGAATGAAAGTAGTGGCATTTTTTTAGGTGTTTTGTGACCTCAGTGTGATTCTTTACACTCAGCAGTGGTGGTTCTAAAATGCCCAGAAGGGGACCTGCTTAGTTATTCTACTCTTATCTCTTTATAAACATTACTCTAATCACAACTTCCTCCTGTCTTCTGTGATTTGATGATGGAAAGTTCCTTCCGTTCTGTCTTCCCAGTCCTTTTCAACATGCATGACACGGACAATGATGGCACCATCACTCTGGCGGAGTACAGGAAGGTAAGATAACTTAACCATGCCAGCCTTTGTCTGACGCATCCGTGATTGTGTGCTATATTTTATTTTTTTATACACAAAATTAACATAAAATTTTCTCTAAAAACAAATTTTGTATTCATTCATTTGCACAAGATAAACAGTGTATGTAAATGTACATTACTTGTTAGTCTGCATTACAAAGTTGCAATAGTAAAGAGTGGCCCATCACTTTGATTCACCTCATCTGATGCGCGTCATACTTAAAAAAAATTAAATAATGGTATGTGGAATTAAATGCATCAAACAAACAAACGTGACCGTGTATTATCTAAACTAAATTGGACCTCATTATGAATAAGATAATTTATATATATATAAAAGCCACAAAATGCACATCTGTACTTTGAGCAAAAGGTCCTGCACACCCATGCATTTAAAGTTTTAAAAAAATGCTTGCGCCACTCTCAAAATGACATGTCACAAAACTGGATCTATTTTCAAAATTGTTAGGTTCAAATTGTCCCACCCTTCATCTAAGCTACGTAACACGAGAGTAAATCAACCACTCCCACACCCATACAGTCCTGAGAAGAGGTATAATCACTGTGGAGGTGCAGTAACTTTCAATGTTCTCATCATACTAGCAGTTAGCTGGCAATACAAATACAATAAGTTAACAGGCTCTATGTTGCTGTTATCTAAACTTATTAATGCAAAGTTGGACTTGCAGTGACATTAAGAACTAATAACATGTTGAGCAGTTTGCTTATAACTTAATTCGCCCTTTTCTTTTGCGGCCATGGAAATATCACAGGTAACTTTAATAAGACACACATTCACTATAAGTTCTTCAAAGTTCAGATGAGGTTGCATTTTAGGAACTATTCATTTAAAAAAAAAAAAAAAAAAGACCATCTTGCTTCCTTGATTTGAAGGGGTTTTGATTTTCAATTGAAAGAGAATGTTGCACTGGAGCAGAGTGTAGGCAGAGGAGGGGAAGTTACTAACAGCATTTAAGTTTTCATTTTAGATGCAGTTTTTTTTAGATGGAAGAGATGATGGGGACGGATCAAGAATGTGATTTTACTGGTTATTCAGATTAGCTTTTATGCTAGTGATGAATTACATAATTTTTGATGATTCTCATGAAAACAAAGCTTAAAGCAAGCTTTAAATGTAGTTTTTTTTTTTTTTCCTTTTACAAAGACATTGGTGTTGAGCAAATGATTTGGATTGAACTTACTGAGTGAGCGCTTGGCTAGAGAACCCTGAACAAGCAAGTCTTCAAAACCAGCTGAGTAGCTAATCATGTGCATGCTGTGTATACAGTACCGATGATGGTTTTAAGTGAAATTTGTCTTACCTCTTGCTGTGATTTGAAACTGTCAACCTCTGAAGTTGTCCCATGTGGCTTTATGACTGATGCCGTTTAAATGCCAATGAGGGTTTAAAGACTAACAGCGGTCTTCTCATCCAAGGTAGTAGAGGAGCTTCTGTCACAAAGCGGAGCCATTGAAGACGAAACTGCCAAGGCGATAGCAGATGCTGCCATGTTGGAAGTGGCGAGCACAAATGTGCCCCACATGGTAATGGAACTTAGCAGAAGCAAACTGTTCAAATAAATTCTCACAGTCGCATATCTGCAGCAAAGTAACACATTCATTTGTCTCTTCATCATTTCAGGCCCCGGATGAGTTCTATGAGGGAATTACATTTGAGCATTTTGAACAGGTTTGCACTTTTCCAACATTATGTTCCACCTGATTAGAAAATACCCTTTTCTGTCACTTATGACAGCATTTTGTTATCTAACCCACAGATTTTAAAAGGACTTGAAATGGAGTCCAGGATGCACATTCGCTTTTTGGATGTAAACACCACGACGATGCGTTGTGGGAAATTGGCCTCTTGAAGGAGTTCTTCTTATATATAAATGTTTATGTTGCTGCTGTTTTTAGCAGAACCTCTCCAGTCCTTTTAAATGTAATGGAGCCAAATGCTTTTGATACACATTAATATATTTTTGGATGGAGGGAAATAACGATATACCTTATGCCATACTGTAATTACATTTTTATACAAATTATACGAAAGACTGTCTGCTGCTCATGGTGGAAGTATCAAAGGACGTTTAATTCAGTTTTAAAGCTTTGTGATCCCAAGAGTAGCAAGTGTTACATTTCAAAGAGATTTATTTCCCAGCTTTTGTCACACTACAAGCAGTCGTATCAGGTTTCAAACTAACACACCACCTCTCTCTATACTCCTGCTAATGTACAAATCTTTATGTAACCAGCTTGTAATGGGAAAGATTCTTTGTACTTTAGTCAAAAGGGTCACATTTCAGATGAAGTCAGTCATGCTCAGTGGCTGCTTTGGCATTCATGGGTCATCTGTAATAAGCTAACATCCAAAACACTAGACTGCAGGCACGTAGAATTCCTCTGCAGTCTCAGAATAGTTCCAGGTTTTATTTATCTGTTCCTGAGACTGTGTAACCAGCCACTGCTGTTCTACCATGAAGATCTGCTATTGTTTGACCACTAGTAACCGCTAAGATGATTTGTTACAGACTTTGCACTGAATTGTATTCATGAATAAAAATAATAATAATAATAATTAAGACAATGATAAAATGGATGTGTAAAGTGTTTTTTTTTTTTTTAAAGAAACCTATAACACATGTACAAAGATGAATCTTATTTAGTAAATGAGGTAGAAATATGATGTCTTTTATTGCTGTGATGTTGCACACTGGAACTGAATCATATCCAGGAGGAAGCCAAACATCAATTAAAAATTAATTAATTAATGGTTTACAAGGCTGAGATCCTGTGCAACATCTGGGCTGCTGAATTCAACATTGTTAAATTACACAACAATTAAATATACAGTGAAATGTTACATTTTCAAAAAGCTTGATTTTTCTAGTATATTAAAAGAAAACAAATTAAATAAAAAGATACCGTTTGGAGAGGGTGAAAGTTTCTATTGTCCGTTCAGATGCAGTTTGGAAAACTACACGTCAGTGGGACGCATGGGAGCCAGACAGCCTGTCGTAAGGCACTGCCAGGCTGATGTTGTAGTTGTAGCCGTGCGATTCGATGTAGTCGGACCTGCAGATGGGCAGGATGTGATCCTGTGACAGCGCGTCCTCAGAGAAGTCGTAATGGCAAATGACTCCTCTGTGTCTGAAGGATAAAACCATTTCTATCAACAACAACAACACAGACATAGCTTATTTCTCTTTTTGGAAAATTGTTCAAAGTTGATGCTTGAGTAGGACATTAAGCAGAGATTGATCATTCTGAAGTTTAAACCAATGACATATCTGTTGAGCAAAATGCAGCTTTATCTGACATAAGCAGTGGGATTATTTAGACTTAATTCAGTTAGTTGGATTTTATTTTTATTTTAAGCCTACAAAGCAGCATGCAGCTTTTTAAGGAGCAGCCGGTTGTCTGGGATGTCCCAATTTTGAGAAAGAGGCTCAGCCAAGATTAGCCGCCATCCCATTTGTACTAACAAGGTATTACTTTACTTTGACAACAACTTCCGTTTAAAGGAATAGTTTAACATTTTGGGAAACGCTGAGTTTAGCATGAAGATTGGAAACAGCCTTTATAGTTGGTAAAATCAATCGAAAGATTGCTGACTAACATGTTTCATATGTTTAATCTGTGCAAAACAAAAATGTGTGGTTTTACAGGGGGTTATAAATCAGATTGTTTCAGACAGGATCAGATACGCAAACAAGATTTAGGGTTAGGAGCTTTAGAGGTGCTGGTTAGGTGTCATCTTTGGAGCCAGGTCACCTGTTTCCCCATTTCCAGTCTTTATTGCTAAACTACGCCAACCGGCTGATGGCTGTAGCTTCATATTTACTGTACAGAAATGCGAATGGCATCAATCTTCTCTCAGCAAGAATACAAATAAGTATATTTCCCAAAATTTCAAACTATTCCTTAAGAATGTTGCAAGGTTGAATTTGCTTTTACCCACAGAAAAGCAGTCAATTCACAGAGTATTTCAGAGATTCTGTAAGCTTGTGGGAAGTGGAGGTAAAAAAAGAAGAGTGTGGGAGGGAGATCGGTGACCTGCGGTGAGCTGTAAGGTCATCATCTGTGATGCAGGCCCCCCGTGGCGACTTGTCATCGGGGATGTTTGCGGTTACCAGGGTGCTGGTGTTGAAGTGTACATGCCTTACAGGATGTCTGCAGCCAAGACAGAAAAGCATTATTACGTTCACATTCTTGTCTTTTTGTACAAATGGTTCTTGAGGCAAATGTCTGGAACTATACTACATCTAAAAAAAAATTTAAATTCTGGTGGAATTTAATAATTTGAAGAACAATAAGAGGCCACAATGAGAAGAAATCTAAATATCTACAATCATCATGTCAATGGAGTTTATAAATGTCTCAATTAACTCTAATCTTAAAGGCACACGCCTTACACAACTGTAATGTGTAAGAAACTAACAGAGAGGCCAAATTACAAAAATAGATGTGATTCAGTGTTGCTGAGAGATCTCCTTTGTGGCTCAGACGAAAGAAAATCCCACCTGTTGTGCATCTCCCACAGCTTCGCTCCCATCCTCATCTCCCACACACACACCAACCCTTCGCCTCCGCCGCTCACGATCTTCCAGTCGTCTGCCCGCACAAAGGTGACACCCAGGTGGTGGGCGTACAGGGACACCACAGAAGAGCCGGCTCGCAGGTCAAACACCCTCACCCTAAATCACAGCAGAGAGGAACAAATGCTGCTTTTAATTTATTGGAAAAAGTGTTGATTACTTTCTGCCATATTATTGCAATTGGGTAGGTCAATTAAGAAACATGATGAATTATGTGTTTATAGGCCTGAGGTTGTTTGGTCATTTTTGAAAATACTATGTAACACTATGTAAATGTTATATTTGCATTTCCAATGAGTCCAATAGAAGAATGATAAGCAAAGTGAGTACAATGGAATCAGTCACTTCTAGTGAAACGTGGTCATTTTGGATTTCACTTCTGCTTACAGAGGCGGAAGACTCCCAAGACAGCACAAGAGGGAGTACAGTACAGTGCATTCATCTGCAGACAAAAGGCGCTATTCTCACTGTTGAAGGAACTTTTCAACATCCAGCCAAGAGACCAAAGACAATCCCGGCCTTATCTGCCCCGGGCTTATCCAAATATCACACCATTTCATCTCCTTCTATCTGACACCAAGATAGATATATATAAATATATTTTTATTTTTTTAAGTTTTTATTTTTTGTTGTTTTTAAACACAGAAACAGTACAAAACACAATAGCAGAACCCCCACCCATAACAGCCAGACAGCAGATACAATATTAAACATAATAATTATCATAATAGTAACATACAATCTTAATTTTTTTTTTTCCCAGTCCACAAAATTTAAGACAGAGTTAAAGGATACCAGTCACCAGCATCCTCTCATAATACATGTCCTCCAATCTGGGATTAGCAAGGGGAGATCTTATTCCACTCAGATATATTTGCCGCTTCCACTGGATATGAGACCAGTAAAAAGAATGAATGTATAATAATATGGAGAAGATATGAAGTCTAGCATACAGCCAGAAACCGACTACACATGAAACAGCTTTACATTATATGAGGCTTGAAAAATCTATTGTGTAGCAAATGAAGTACTTTAAGAGCAGATCAGTGGAAAGGGCTAAAGACTATATAACAGAATTTAGATAGGAGCAGATCAACATAAAGCAGGTGAACATCTAAACATGGAGAAGAGATTGGTGAATAAAAAATTTATAAACAAGACAGAAAATGTGAATAAAGGGTGTGCTAATTAGAGCAGGTACAAATACAGGTCATTTATGCAGTATGGTGAAAAATGAAAATGTTAAAATATTAAATTATTAAATTAATTCTTTTTTTTTTTTATGTAATTGTGTCTTGATTTCTGATTGGTTTTATTAAATGTGTCCATTATTTTTATGTCCATGTGTTTATTCTAAAAATGCTTTTGTTCTTCAATCCTTCCTACAAAGAACTTCATAAATTCAGCTTTGAAAAAAGTGTTATATGCTCTTTTATGATATTTTTCTTATTATTATTAAAGTATTAGTATTTATTATGGATAAACAGCAGTAACAGCAGATTTCTGCTTGCTGGGTTTCATGAGCAACACAAGCCCAGGGGACCTTCAGCTCCATCTGTTGTCATTGTGGCTTTATTGCAGCTGAAAGCATCCAGGCCCAACCTTCTTCCAAGACTTCATTACCATAATCAAATTCACTTTGGGGACTCAGGCAGATTTTATTTCCGCTTCCAAACATTTTTAAAATTCCGAGTTAAATGGGCACCGTGGACTTGTTTGCAGTTAGTTTTGCCTGTTTAGTGGCATTACGTGATGGAAGCACACATTTAAACAATGAGGACTGAAGATTACTGGCAGACCGCAGGGAACCATAAATCTAATGTTGGAGGCAGCTCTGTCTTCAGTGAGCTGTCAGTGGCCAGACTCCTCTCCATTAATCAGGAGGAGCCCTGCCTAATAAGAGAAGTGTGGGAGAGGCGCCGGTTAGTATCCTACAGCTAGATGAGACATTAATCATTATCCACTGAGGATTATGTCTGATGCAAATCTGTGATTTGGGGATCCCAAATGGTCTCGCACTGCATAATGACAATATCGCAAAACCTTGTAACAGGTTTTCTTGCTCAGCAGACATTGCAGTTACGACCTGTGAGTTAAGACCACCTGTATCCTTCTCTGTTCCAAGATCAGCCAAATTCAAAAAGACATTTTTTCTCAATTTGTTCCTCAAGACATGACTGACTAAGGGGTGAAAAATGTGTACAGGACTGTGCACTTTGTGCATCAAATAAATTGCTTGATAGTTTGAAGAGCATTACATATTATACAGGTTTGTTTTTATGGCTAAAAACACATCATTCAAGAGATAAACTGGGAGGGAAACATGACTAAGAGTCTACACTACAGCCATGCTGGCAGCTCTGCTCAGGCACAGCGATCCGTTCAGGCTAACATCAGCATACTAGCAGGTATAATGTTTACCATGTCCACCACATTTTAGCTTAGCGTGTTTGCACGAGATGATGACACTAGATGAAAAGTAAGGGGATCACTAAAGAGAGTAAAGTTCATCTCTGAGGATGAACATGATTCTCTGTACAAAATGTCACAGTGTTCCATCCTATAGTGAGTAGAGACATTTTACTCACAAGCACAAATGTGAACCCCGTGGTGGCACTAGAGGAAAGTCATTAAGATTCAAAATTTACAAAAGTGCACTCCACTCCATCCTATTGTTTTTGAGACACTTAATTCTGGACCCAAGTGGTGGACCCTGATGAAAAGACCAACATGGCCATCCCTAGAGCCATGTAGAACTCAAGTTGAAAACTTTTTCAAGTCTTTAAATTAGCAGGACAAAGTTAAGTCAAGTCCAAGACTTCAGCAAAGTGGTCTCAGCACAGTACAGAAATAACCACAGGTATGACACTCACTATTTGTTTCCTCTCTATTATTGGATCCAGTTTTGCTCTTTGCCCACACATCTTTCCTGTCTGAACAGATGTGGCAGTCTTCCAAACAGCCCTTATCACGACCTCTCATTTGCTCCCTGGATCTCACAAAAAACAGAGGGACAAAAATCATTTGGACAAATCGAAGGGATGCATTAGGCTTTGGCCTTGAGCCACCCTGTCAGTGGGCCAAGATCAGCGACTGTCCCTCAGTCTCCACCGTTTCCATTTGTCTTCAACTGTGCGCTGCATCAGCTGGGGCCAAGAGCCAAGCTGGTGTGGGAGTCTCTCTGAACAAAACTACTCATCTATCAGAAAGCAAAGTACCAAAAGTAAAGCAGAAAGGAATTGGATAAAGACTGCACCAATGCTCTGGCAAGAAAACATCCATTTCAATTCTTCAGTCAGAACAATGCTGAACATTTTCATTTGGCACTTGACAAAAACAGCTTTAACAGAGCTGTCTGTTGAACAGTTGCTAAGAGTCGTGAACTGGTAAGAAGAGGGGGGGGGGAAACTGAACCTAAACAATATGATATGGTCCATCTTTCACTTTAAGCCAAGTACTTAACAGCCAGATGGATTTGGTGCTGAATAGAAACAGCAGGGGCAGCTTTGGAAAAAGACGCGCCAGGTTTTTTTGTTTTCCTGCCAGCTCATGCACCGCAGCACCCGCTAACAAGCGCAGAATAGACGAGAAAGGCTCTTTTATGTGTCTTTTCCTCATCTGGGGAGCCAGGTTAGCGAGGTGGCAAGCACGTGCACATGCATGGACGTATGCGTTGTCGCTGGATGATGATTGAGACGGCCAGATTTATTTCTTGTATAGTATCCCAGGTAATAGAGGAGACAGACAGGCAGACATCTCAATTCAACACAAAGAACAAAACGCCTCACTTGTGAGTATGTGTCTTCTTTCAGAGGCTCTGTGTTTCAAGGCAACAGAGAGAAGAGTGAATAATGCACACACTGAATAAAGCCTCGTCTTTACACACACGTTTTTAACACCTGTTCTCCACTGCAAGTACTTTAGCCTCAGCTTCCGAGTAGCTCCTTCAGTGGTTGTCACTGTGGGAAAACTATTTAACAGACACTCCTTTCAGCTTAAGTTCTTGGCTCAGTTTCAACCGTTTGTGAGAAATATACCTAGTGTGTCAGTACTGGTAGATTCTATCCTTGTGCTTGATCTCGTGTATTCTTCATCTACGCGAAAGTGTGTGTTTTTGTTCAACTGACCCACCTCCTATCTTTGTTTCCACACACCAGCAGGTGAGGAGGGCCGTCTCTCAGGTCAATGCAAGTAAAATCTCCCACCGAGTTGCCGACACAAACCACAGGTTTGCCCGTTTCTATGCTGTAGACGTGGATCTGAAAAGCAAGGACACACACACACACGAACGTCAGTCTTTGTAAAAATTAAATTCAGTCGACCTCCAAATGCACGACCACCACTTAAGTTGCAAAAAGAATTAAAGTTGGCTGCAGTAAAGGTCTGGCATCGCATCACCATGGTACGTGTCTGTTGATGATGCAAAGGATATGCAACCAAATATTAAAATAAAGACTTTATTTGACTTCATGACTTGTCCACTTGCTTTCTGCCCCTAAAATTGGACGATTATGTGTAAAAGGTATGTATGTAAATCTTTTATCTCATAGTCACTGTTTCATACAGTATTTGTACTATTTGATGGAGTACAGAGCCAACGCAGCAAAAATAATTTACCTAATATTCTGACTTTACTCAGGATCTGAGATCTAAAGTACAAAGAATTGTGGATATTAAAAAAAACAAAACTGTGTCATATTTTCTTCTTTAACTCACACAAATACTTCTTTACCTTTAATTACAGCTCCCCAGTTTAGCCAAAAGTGCGGAATTTGCTACCTACATGTTGGACCAAAGTCTGAGTAGTGTGGAATATTTCCTATGATTAAATCAGACATATGGACAAAGGCTGTTGGTGAACTTCTTTGTACGTTGCGCAATTTAAGACACACACACTGAGATACAACTGACTATACTGGATATCATATATCGTACAAAAGACAAACACAGTGTACTGAAAAGATGCTTTGCCAGTTAGTTCAGTTAATTAAAAACAAAGCAGCACTTAAGTGTTCAATCTTGGAAAACATAAAAATCAGCCTAGGGGCATACTTCAATTACGGACCGAGATGCACTGCATTGCCTCTGGCTCGATGGCTGCAGCAAAGTTTCTTCATACAAGTTACAATGATGTCATCTGGAGCCGGCCTAATTGGTCAATTAGCGGCTGGTGTTTTCTCATCCAAGTGAGACAGGACAAACAGGATAACTGCCAGGCAAAATTTACTTTGAATAATTAAAACGATAAAGAAATTAAACGGAGGGAGGGAGAGAAATGAGAGAGAACCAGGAGGTAGGAGAGAAAAGGAAAGACAGAAAGAGAGAGAGATGGAGAGACAGCGACAAAGATAAAGAAGTCTGAAGAAAGGGAGAGAGAAAAAATAGGCATGATGTAAGCCTTAAGGAGGTGCCAGCAGTTTTTGTGTGTCCCTTATTTGGGCCAAGCGGAGCTTTAATTGTGCACCACCCCGGGGGCAAAGCCCAAATCACACCGGACTTTGAAATGACAGCTTGATAGGATTTGGACAGCGGAAGAGAGGAGGATGAGTTTTGCAAAGAGGGAGTGGAACACAGAAATGAGGTGCAGCCTGCTGTTCTCGATGAATCATTACAGTTTCGGGAAGATATTTTCTATTAAATATCCGCCCACCTCGCCCACTAAAATTAAGAAATGTTGCTGAGGGAGGCAAAGGAGCTGTTCTGTGATAATTCTGGGGGCTGTTTAGAGTCTGCAGCAGTACGTTCTGAGGAAGAATAATCATGAGCATGACTACAGAAGAGTTGTTAGGTTAATGCACTTGTTGGAACCCCAGTGAGGCTTGCAGACAAAGGAAATTCTAATGGTGGCTTGTACTGGGATGTTAATGTAATTACTCTATTTGCTTTTAAAAAGATGAAACATTTGGCAATTATGGCTGCACGTCTGAGGAAACCTTTCATATTGCCGTTTCCTGTATTGTTGAGCACATTTGGCCAAAGAGCAGAATTTGGTTTGGTTTTTGATTAATCTTAAGTGGAATATCACAGACCAGGAATGGAAAACCATGTGGCACAGAGGCCTTCAGGTTTTCACTCCAACCATAGACTCCACCAGCTGACTTCACTGATTAACGCTCCATCAAGTAGAGAGAGAAACTAACAAGTGAAATCACCAGCTGGGGTGAAATGTTTGAACAAAATCCGTAGACTGTTGGCTTTCCTTGGCCCACAAGTGCCCATCCCTGTCATACACAAACATCCCCATTTGATTCAGATATGCTTTCAGAGCCTCATTTGGTTTAGACACCATGTGAACAAACAGAGATTAGCACTTTGGGTCTGATGCATGATAATGGCAGGTCTGTGGTTTGATGTCATTTAGGAGTGTATTCCCAAATCGTCCTACAGGGCAGAGAAAATTCTCAAACTTGCTTAAAGTAACTCGCTGAAGAGATGCCATCTGTATTACAATTTGTATGTTTCCACAGTTAAAACAATAAAGAAATTGTGGCGTCTGGGGCTCAGCAGGTAGAGCAGGTTGTCCACTACTCAGAAGATTGCTGGTTTGATCCCTGGCTCTTCCAGTTTGCATGTCCAAGTGTCCTAGGGCAAGACAGTGAACCCCATATTGCAACGCCTGTATCAACAGTGTGTGTCTGAATTTTTAGTTCCTACAAGTACAGTCCATTTACACTTGCAGTTGTAGTGAATTTGATTTCTCCTTGGATAAACAAGGAGCTCGTAGCAAAGAAGAAAGAAAACTAAAAACCAAATCACGAAGAGCACTTTAGTTGCACTTCTTGGATAATTAGAGTTTGTGGTTAGACGCCGTTGGCTGTTGCCCACTAAGGCAAGATGAATATATAGAGAAAGTAGCTACACAAGTGTCATCCACTGATATAGTAACTGTTCTGGAAGGACATGTTGGAATTTTAACTTCCTAAACAGCACCATCCCTGACGTATTTATCGTGTCCTAATACGTATGAGAATGCTGCATTCTGGATAGGGGGCAGCTTTAAAGGATAGGTAAGTTAAATTTTTATTTTATTTCGATAGATCCTATTCCTAACAGAAGTTATCTCGTCCTACTCTTCATATATAGCTAGACCATACTCTTTGTAATAGTATTTACAGAGACCCAACAATTCCCACCATGAGCAAGAAGTAGGCGAAGTAAACTCCCTTTAAGCAGGTGGAAACCTTGAGTAGAACATAGACTCAGTGTGTGCAGCCATCTGCCTCGACAAGGGAGGGAGAGAGAGAGAGAGTGCGTATGGTACGCAGTTACCCACTTTCAGTGAAAGTAGTTAGATGAAGTGATATTTATCTAGTTCAATCCAGCCGATAACCCTGTTGGCTTCTGGTGCCTAGCGGGGGAACAGTCCCATAGTAGATGATTCCCTACCCTCATATTGAAGGTGCTCACTAGATAGTTTATTCCCTTGTGGTCTCAAGTCCCGACAGGGTAATGCTAACAGGCAGCATCCACCCCAAGTACCAGATTTCACATAATGCCTGTTGTCTTTGTATCCACTGTGGTTTTGCAAGTAAGTTTATGACAAGATCTAAACTGTGTACATATTTAAAATTCAAATAATACTGTGTGTTGTGTGAACCGGCTGACTGAAATTAGATAAAGCCTGCAAGCTCGTTCTGGCAGACATCTCGAACACTCACATGTTGTGACAACATTCTGAATCCGGACAATATTTCCTCCCGTCATTTAATTAGTCATACAGTATACTCAACTCACCCTTAGAGATAGGGTGGATATGTTGAAATCTAATTTGCTGCTATTCCATTGTTCACCTGCAACTCTGCTGTAACTGCAGCAAATAACTTACTACCACTGCTGTTTGTGTTGCATTCTTACAGCATATGATAATCTGACCTCCACCCTAGCATCCACCTTTAGGCTTTGACTCATTTCAACTCACGTGGTGGGATATTATCACTGTCACTCCCTAACCTCTGCTGTTCTGACCTTGTTACATATTCTTTACCAACATAATATTCACTTACACGTGAGTTGGATGACAGAAATTTCCAGCCGTACCGCTGGGGATTGTTTAAAGACAAATTTTTACAAGTCAGGAAAGAAACTTGTTTGGGTCTGATTGATCCTGATGGTCTTGTTCCTGATATGACAATCCTATCCATCCTGAACGTACATACATACTGTACATCAAATCATTCCTTCAGCCTTCCATGCATCCAACCAGCCCTCTGAACTTGAGGCAATGAGCGGATGACAGATTTTCTGACAGCACTTGTGCTCTGTGGTAGATCCACTGCAGTGGATGGATGGTTTGCCAGTGGAGATGCCAGCTTGTGTTGAATGCCCAGCCACGAACTGGGTGGGTGCCTGGGTGCCCCCAGTCCACTGGCAAGGAGGTGGCCAGGAGTAATGAGGATCTGGAGACTGACTCCGACCACACACACATTTACACACCCACTGACAGCACCAACAAAGATGGGGAAGGCTAGAAGACAAAGCCACAAGCTAAACGATAACGCATGCCAAAATATGATAAAGAATCTTTTATATCATTGATACAAAGCAGCTTTTTTTATTTTAAGCTGTCAGATTTTAAAACAAAACTACAACAAACTCAATCAAGTTAACAAAAACATGACAATGTGGTTGAGTTCATCTAAGTCAAAATGCTGTAAATGAAGATGTTTCACGCTTCCGTGAGGCAAAAATGTGTGAGCTGACTCTCTTGGATGCCACCTCCATGCATTTTGACAGATTTTAATGAAGCATATGTTTTCTTACTAAATGCCGCATAAAAAATATCTGGCATCACTCAAGGTTGCAGCCAATTCATGCTTTGTCTTTTCCGCAGTATGAAATTGCTGTTAGAAGTGTGACGAGAGTGACAGACAAGGTTAATTAATTTTAATTAGTAAGAGGTATGCTAATTATGAATTGGCATAATTTAGATAGAAGATTGGGCTAAGCTCACTATGGAAACAAGAAAGTTTGAAAGACCTTCTGTGCTTCTGTAAGGAAACTGCTGCTTTTTATCCTTAAATTTGACTCAGTTGGAATGGAAGTCTGAGATGAGTCAAGGCAAATTATTTTGCATAGCCAAAAATGAACGTACAGTTTCCTTCGCTTTTACAGCAACTATTACCGAGCCAGCTCAAGTTTTCTAAGACGATGAGGGAAAACAGCCACAAAATTTTAACACATAGGACAACAGACTGTAGGAGAGATCAAAATTGGGAATTCAGATTCAAGGACCACCTTTCACGGCTGTTTGTGCATCAGCCACCATAGGTAGAAAAACACAAACAAAACTGTTAGGAAAATACAAACTAAACTAGGGGTTTATACTTCAAGCCTTTGGATAAGATTTTAGTGGCAACTTATGTGTATTTAATTTATCGACTGATCTGCCAATACATTTTTCCAAAAATTGATTAACCATATAATCAAAAAAAAGTGATAAAATGCTTCCAGAGATCGAGGTGTACTTCCATACTTTGAAAAATGTATTTTTCCTCTTCTCTCTGTGTACCTGATCCTTAGAACTTTCTTTCTAGTTGCATGGTTGATTAAAAGGTTAGCAAAAAAACATTCAACAGTAGATGGGTTGTTGCTCTACATGACCCAATGTAGCCTTGTTTTATGATAAGATGAGACTGTTATAGCTCTCACTCCTAAACCTGCTAATCTCTCATTGGTCCACTGTGTGGTGCTTTAGTGCTGACACTAAAATCGGTGCTGCAGTATATGAGCTGTGCTTTTCTAGTGGTGGGTGATGTCAGTGAAGAAGCTTTGCCAAAAAACTGTCAATCAAAAACACACTGCACACACACACACAAACACAGTGTGCTCGGGTGGTACATGTGGTTTTAAAGTAAATCTGATTTCTGAATAAAAAGAGTATTTTGGGGATGCAGCAGCTTTCTATTCTTAATTTTATCCATTAATACTGGCAAGAATATCTTGATGAAGTGAACTTGAACACAAAGCTGCATAGCTGCCTGCTGATCCCAAAAGAATAGTTTGTCTCATGGCTCTTTGTACTTTCTAAATAAAGGCTTAAGAGTCAATTAGGTGCATGGGGTCCTTAGAAACACAATATTATTAGTAAAAAACAGATGCAGCTTGGGGAACAGAAGTTTACCAAAGCCCCCTTGAAGGCTGTGGCAATTGGGAGCAGGGCCCAAGGAGGGCTTGTCGCTATTTAAGCTAGCTATTTCTACTACAAACTAATCCTCTACAGGTACATCACATTCTTTTCCAAGGGGACCCAACGGTTCTGAGGGGACATGGAGCAATAGTGATCACACTGACAAGAGACCCAGTTTACATTTACACAGATGAGATGTATTTAGCGAACAGCCTTTGTTTGCAATGCATCTGAAATTCAAATCAGCAAAGTGTGGACCAGACTAAAAAACAGACTTAAAATATAAAGTGTGCTCCACATTTAAAAGGCAGGAGGCATCTTTTCTCCAAAAGAGTTGAATTAAAGTAAGCGAGAGCAGGGAAGATAGGCATTTCAGCTATAAACCAGTGATTAAACTCATAATGGCCTAATGCCAAATCTTCGGTCCTCACCACTCTCCTCTTGATGAATTGTGTTCCTAAATGAAAACATGCGTCATTCTGTTTGAGCAAACATTATGCACCTGTGAGAGCACAAGTGACCTTGTAAACTCAATTGGAAACATTTCATTTCAATTAGTAAGGTCTGGGTAGCATTTTTCTTTTTTTTCTTCTTCTTTTTTTTTTACAATACATCTAAAATCCAGCTGCAGAGTTTTGAGGCTTTGCCATCTACTTCATCAACAAGTTTTGTTTAGTTTTGTTTTTCTTCCTGAGACTTTTCAATTTCTGAAAGCCAAAGAGGCCTTGATGCAGCGTCATCAAGTCTTTTTCTCTGGGAGAAAAAATATTTTTGATTATGGTACCGCATAACTCAACAGATGGGTAACTCAGCAACGGTATAATTACAACACTGTGCATTCATGGTATTTTACTTATTCAGGATTTCTTTGAGATTTTGCTTCAAATGATTTAGCTCCCTTTGCTTTGAACGAGTCTCCTGAACAAGCACCGTCTTCCAAGGTATTTACTTGTGATCTACGATCTGGAGCTGGTTCCCATGTTTGTGAAGCAAAAATTCTACCATTGCTGCTCCCTCCAAGCAAAACACAGTGATTGTTCAAAATGCCAATTTGCAAGCTCTCCTTGCTCAAAAACAATTTGGTGGATACAGATAGTGCAGCACAATTTGTTCTACCGGAGTTTATCAACCTTGAGGTGCAAATGAAGCAAAATGGGGAGCAGATGGGATCATGAATCTATACTTCAGACTTTTCTTTTTAACCAAGCTTTTCATTAACGTAGTCCTTTGCTTGTTTTCTGTATGTAAAGTGTCCTTGGGTTACATGTAAGGCACTTCAAAATGTATGAGTAGTAGCTCTAGTTTTTGAAGACCAATGCTGAGGCTTAAAAAACTTCCATGTTTTCCACAAAATCAATTTGGAGCTCTCGTCTTGTATGTCAGTCAGTATGCCGTACACAAATGCACATGACAACAAAACATCGGCTGATGGGCTGAAGTTTGAAACACCCCATTTTATCTGCATATCAACACTTCTGCAGAAAATTGGTGATGAGAATCCAGTGAAGACGTTGTACCACACTGATCCAATGAGATACTCGCTGCACATTTAAAAGCTGCACATGTTAATATCTAACAGAGACACTGAACCCACCTTGTTTCCTCCGTCGTGCATGGCCCAGCCTGTGCGCTTCACTCCAAGTGCAACATGGGAGTCGGAGGCATCCAGGCAGGTAACCGGATGACCGTAGACTGAGTGGAGCATCTGTGGCTCCTCCTGCCGGGGGTCCAACAGGTACACGGCCTCTCCCGCCGCCAGGGCCGCCAGCGGGCACTGCTGCCGCCTGCCTGGAACCAAGACCAGGCTCTCTACCTGCCAATACAGAGGCACACTTTACAGCAGTAATATGTACAGTGCTGTCTTCAAAATTTTAACTCCATTTCACTCTTTTATGTATTTGATAAGGGCTATTTTATTTCCTCTAAGGATTTTATAAGTATGTCTTATTGTAAAAGTTACAGTTGCAATTGAAGATACATTTTCAATAATCCATTAATTGGATAATTTATAAAATGTAAATAAAAATGTCCATCACAAATTTCCACATTCTAGTGTACGTTTTTTGTGCAAACATTAGTCCTAATGTTTCCATCATTATTTAACATAAAAAAAGGGGGACATTTTTAGATGAAAGCCACAAGGGGAACATGTGTGAAGAGCAACCTATTAATTAACACAATAACACTGTATCAGTACGGAGCATGTCACACATGTGAGGAATCAAACTGCCTGACTTACAGTCTTGGGTAGCCGAGCATGGCAGAGTGTCCTCCAGTAGCCGCGATCATCGGCACAGTCCAGCCGAATGTCAGGCCCGGCGGCGGAGCCCAAGACGGGACTGTCAGGGCTCAGGGCCAGAGCCTGGATCCCACCTGGGCTCTGGTAGTGGTGGATGGGCTCTCCACCTGTCTCTGTGCTCCACAGGTCCACACATCCTAAGATATTGAAACACTGTCACTTAGTACCTTAATAACTGATTAACACTGAACACTAGGCTGTGTACTTTACTTAATCACAGCTATAGAAGCTACAGCTTGGCAGCCTTTACACAATAAGGCAAAAGCTCCTTTTACAGAATATATTTTGATCATATAAAACATCAGAATTTTCTGACGATTTAATGAATGCATTTCTGTTTACCACAGGGATAGCACTACATAAACATACATGCACACACTCACCATCTCCATAAGCAGCAGCAGCCACTGTGCTGTTGACCTGGACGTGACTAGCATAAGGTCTAGGGTCAGAGTTCGCTGACAGGCAGTTAGTCTTCAGGTAAGAGGCCGCTGAGTCCCAGTGCAACGTATCCCACAGCCTCACATCACCAGACGTGTACCTGAGATACAAACGAGCACATCACCGGTAAACATTACATTATTCAAATATTTAGGTTTGTGCAAAAAAAGGCAGATGAATGTTAAAGCAGAATTACTGCCCATTTACCATCACAGGCTGAGAAGTTTGTCTCTTCAAGAATACCCGACGTCACCCTCTCACCGCTGAATCATTTCCCCTCTCACACTTCCCTCCTTTACTCACTCTGACTTGTTGTTATGTTGTTTTCTAAAATCTTTGTTACATGATCTTTCGAGGATTACAGGGGTGTTGCTTGGGCAGAGCAAGGCGGTACATTTCATCCAGTGCTGCTGGTCTTTGCGTGTAGGGATGACGTACAGCAGGAACGCACTCCATATTAAGTCTCTGGGTTTTCTGAAATCGTTTGCAGTTATAAAACTTTTATTCTACTATCTGCCTTACGAACAGCTTTTCAGCTACCAATCAAAATTATTTCTTTTACAATGTTGTATTTTTACACTCAAGCATTTGCAAATAGTCAAGTTAACTGTGTTAATATGTAAAACCAGAGTTGATACTAGGTTAGGTGATTTTTTTTTTTTTAAAGCCCTGAATAATTGTTCAGCCAGTAATAACATAAAATGCCCAACACAGTTTGCTTTTTTCACACGATAAATCCCTTAAATAATTTTTAGATTTTCAAAATTGTTGTAATTTTCTGTTGTTCGACAAACTGATTAAAGGACAAATTGTTTCAGCACCGCTCGATACGACTGGGAGCTTCTGGGAACTTTACTATGGTTTGCCCAAAAATCTGTCTGGATTAACGACTGCGTAGTTGATCATCGAATAATGATATGCTATTCATTGTTTGAGTCATTTTTCAAGTAAACAGACAACATTTTCTTATTACAACTCTAGTGTGTTGTTTTTCTTTGTTATATATCATTGTGAATCAGTGAATCAGTGTATATCTTTGTGTTTCGTTCTGGTGGTCAGGCAAAACAAGCCATGTGAAGAAGTCATCTTGGGCTCTGGAAAACTGTGATGGGTATTTGTTGTTATTTTCTGAGATTTTACAGACAGAACAATTCAATCAATAATCAATAAATAGAGTATTTTTTCTCTCTTTAAATTAGTCTTTTCCTCTTCAAGAAACTAAAAGCTTTTGTTCTATTTCCATTTGTATGAGCAGCACAGTCTACCTAGCTCTGCCATAGAGAAGGCCCTTCCTTCCTCCAACCAGTGGCTCACAGCGTGCAGTGTGGTGGTCACGACAGACAGAGGTACCGCCAAGCTCCTCAGTTATTGTCAAGTTTGCATAAATTATACAAATGTCTCAAAACTTGTGCTAATGATTTATGGATTTTAAAATACTGCACGGCAACAGTGGGATGTGACCTGTTCCTGTGCTTCTTTTTTTCCCCCCCTTTAGAAACAAAAGCGCTGCCTCGATCTCCCATCCTCAAGTAAAAACAAAGCCACCCCCTCACGCTCAACAGGCTTCTGTTCCGTTCCCTCTTTCCCTCCTCGCCCAAGTCAATGAGCTCTCGCTGTGGGAGACGACAAACTGCCAGCGTTACCACCTCCACAGATACCATCATGTCTGAGCAAGTATCCGCCTCGCAGCCAGAGTGTGTGACACAGTGACAGCAAGTGTGACAGAGGGTGTACATGTGCGCGCTCGTAAGCGTGTGTGTGTGTGTGTGTGTGTCTGGCATAGCAGGGTTTGGCAAGAAGTAAAAATAAAAAAAATAAAAAAATACACTCTTTTGATTTAATTGGTACAACATGATGATGAAGCTGAATCTCATCCAAGTGCTTCATCAAAACTTTTATCTGCAGGAAACTTTGTGCACTGATCAGTGCGATCTTTATGCAAACCTCAGCAGATGTGGCCTTTATGTCACTGTGTGACGGCAAGAGTTGTTGGGTTCATGACAATGTCTGAAATCACATTCCACAGGTTTCCTAATAAGATTTTGGGGATGCAATCGAATAAGTCTTGATTGCTCTTAACTGCCATCGATTCTTTTCTACTTAAACAAATTCAAGTACTTCCAATTAGCTAAATGACCCTTTAAGTACCAATAATGGGAAAAGTATTGATGTTGTGAATTTGTTAACAGCAATCGTATAAGAAGAAGGATTTAAGTTCAGATTTAAGAGGATGTTCACATTTTTCTGTGTCCTATATCTGCTAACCTGAAAAGACACAAACACCCAGTCTTCTCCGATGAGACATCACTCCCTGGAGATGCTGCACATCTCCTTGTGGGCAGTCTCTCAGGCTCTTGTCGGCCCTCAGAGTCAGTCACTGTCTCAGCGCTGTTATCTCAAGGCAGGTTTGGTTTAGTTCAGCTGCAATTCGTGTACTCCTCCCTCACCAACTACTGCCATTAGTAGCGGGAGTGTAAAAATATGCAAAAATGTGACATTATGCCTCAATGAGCAGAAAACTGATTCACACTATGAAATCTGATCAATAATCACAAGCTATTAATCTTTGCTAATGCCAGAGGGTGTAACGTATTTACACGGTTAATCGTCAAAGAGCTGATGGCCTATTTCCTCCTCCCGAAATCTGGTTCACGCTATTGCTGCTCACGTTAACTGCCCAGTTCTTCATCTTCACCTTCCAATAATAAGCAGCAGCTAGAAACTTCCCAACAACCACCTACCTAATGTAAAAGTTTGGTTGTCAGCCCCACGTCTACATATCAATTATTTTTAATTAAACACATCCGGTCATAAATCAGAAGCCCTATAAACAAGATCTATTTTACACAGAGATTTATGTGAGAAGTGAGGAGAGAGGATATGAGCAGTCAGTTGTTACAGCTAATGTTAATACACGTCAGATGTCAGAGGCCACCTGCGTGTTGGAGTATCTGAAACTCACCCGGCCAAGACAAAGTTGTCACAGGAGCTGACGTCACACAGCACCTTCCCCAGCTCGAACTGCAGCTGTGTGATGGATCCCACTCGATTCTAGACAGAAAGAATGACCAGGCTAAAAACATGCGTCCATCCATAATACAAAAACATTATGTTACAAAACTATACAGTAGAAGGTGGCTTTCAAAATGAACGTCTGTTATTTTTCCCGCCAAATTAAAACCTTCCTCAACTCTGAACGTAATCTAATCCCTTTTTCAATGTTATGTATTGTATTATATTCAAAGTATAAATGCCAGTCAAAACTGGAGATGAGATGGCCTACCGTATATTCTACACTGACTGGTGATGTAAGGTAAACCGTCTCACTATTTCACCAGACAAACTCAAGCGTCTGTGTTGAAATTGGGTGAAAAACAGGTATTCTGCTTCACCACAGGGGAACAGCTCGAGCCCACCTTCCAGTTGGAGCACACCGTTTTGGCCGAGTTCCTGCAGTCTCGCAGCGTGCTCTTCCAGCAAGGGGAGTCGGACACGCTGGCGTCCTGGTGATAACCCTCCCTCGTGCACATCTTGAACCACAGGACGCCGTCCTCTGCAAGGACTCTCCATGCCCTGCTCACCTGGGAGGAGATTGGACAGTGTAACTGTGGACTGAGTCAGCATACATTACGAGCTTCCATCACTTGATTTATTTGTGCTTAACGAGCCCAGCTGACAAATGGGCTCGGTTACCGCGCGCTGTGGGTCGGTCACACAGAATGTAATTTACTAATCTATACCAATTTAAAACAAAAGGAGAGAGGGTCTTACTCTACTTTTCCACTGTTTGTGTATTGACATATTTATATTTTATTAACTGATTATAAACCACTATTTAAAGTGCAATTTATTTTTCCCATAATTGTACCTTGACTTGTACTGTTTTATATATTCTATGTTTTGCATCGATTACTGTAAAGCACTTTGTTACCAGTATTTAAAGGGCTGTGCAAATAATAATTATTATTATTAAGTCATATAAGTTATTAAAGCTGCAATAAGAAATCATGCATGCAGGAGGAAGTGCAACGTAACTCTAATTTAAGGACTTCACTAATAAAAACTCAAAAACCTGAGATCAGCAAGCTGCACACAGTGTGATCACTTTACAGGACAGAAGATTTCTTGTAAAATTACGGTCTAGAACTGCTCTGTATGAAAAGTGCAATGAGATAGCTTGTTATGAATTGGCCTCCAAGCTACAGGCTCAGTCCCTTCCAGATCCTTCCCCGAACCAAACTACAACTACACCTCAATTCAACCAAAACTAACTTCGGTATTCTGAAATTGTGAACTCTAAAGCAGTGATTCTCAACCTTTTCAGGTTGTGACCCCTTAGAGTGAAATTAAACAGTGTCTACTTGAAACCTCTCCTTTAAGGCTGGAGTAGTACGCTGTTTAAAGTGTAACTGTGAGGACTGGAGAGGTCAAACTGCCCAGCATTTCAACGGTAAATAGCGCAAATTTGAGAAAGGTCAGAAAACTAATCTTATTTATTTTACCATAAATATCTTTTTATCTGTGGTATCTTTTTATCTATGGTCTTAATCATATCACTCAGATTTATCTTGATGCCTCTGTGGCATTTAGTCAACTGCAGCAGCTGTTTTAGAACTGCGGTGACAGGGACTGTGTGTCTGCAGTTTGTTGTTTTTGTCCAACCCTTTCATCAGAATGGCTCTATACACAAAACAAGGTGAACCTAAGGCCACTCATTTTGGTGTGAGGATCATTCCGTCTGTTGCAGCCACTTTCTTCCTGTGATTCTACCATGCAAAACTCTCACAAAGAATAGTTTTACCAGCAGCTTACCTGTGCACATCGGCCTAGCTCAGTACAGTTGAGATACTGGAATATCTTCAAGGCTAACTCGTAGGGCAATTCAATATCAAAGAAGGGAATGTCATTGACTTCATTCTGCAAAAGAAACAATTACAACAGACATTATACACTGAGCTGATTCTGGTCAACCACCGTCCACGTGATCATCATCCTCCTCCTATGTTACCAGATCCTGAATGAGTTGATCCAGCAGCTCCTCGTCTTTCTTGACCTTTCTCTGAGGCTGCTGCTGCAGGGATGCGCTGCAGACATTAGTCGTGTTTTGATACTGTCTCTTTCTCCTGGTTCTCTCCTCCTGAATCCTGCCCAGCAGGGGACTGGTCCTCCCGTCCAGCAAACTACTTGCAATGAACACATACTTAGGCTGATCCTCTGACTCTGCTGCAGCTTTCCCTCCACCGATACACCCTTCATCCTCAGTGCAGCCACCCTCCTCTGGTTTTGAAGGACTGCAGGCCTTGTTGATATTTTTTATGTCTTCAAAATACCTGTTTTTCAAGTCTCTCTGGCTTGACTGACAAGGGACGTCGCAGGGAGGGGAAGGAGCGAAAACAAGTCGCTGCTCCTCTTTTTTACTCGTTAATTCTTGTTTCCAACTGTTCCTGAACGCAGCGAGTTCGTCCTCCGCCATATTTCTCAATGATCGTTGACAAAATACCACTGTGCCGTGTTATAAAGAGGTGTCTCAGGAATGTGTAAGTTTAACAGACCAGTTAAGGGAAGCCATAGCTCGGCACCGACGCAAGACATCCATGTCCTTCTCTATAAACAGATCGAAGAGGAACAAGGCGCCGCTGTACATATGTTCCGCGCGTTTTTAATTCCGCAGTTTTTATTATAGACGCGGCAATTACCACTGATGACATGTTTTTGTGGCCACAGCAGGCAATTGTTCTGAAAGTAAACCCTAATATTTGATATTGGATGACTGTGGGACGGCAATCTTTGAATATAATACAAAATGCATTTATTTTACAGCAGCAAAATAAGACAAGAGAACACAACACCCAGTAACAAAAGATTCCTCAGATCAACAGACAGGAGAGATTCAAGAGTTAACAACTGCATCTCTCTTTTGGGAAAAGATGATGTAAACCCCACATCATGTGACACTGTAATGAATAATACAGTAGAGAGAGAGAGAGAGAGAGAGAGAGAGAGAGATAAAGGGGGGACGGAAACACAGTTAAGGTTTGATGTGAGAAGGGAAGGAGGGTCATATATCATCAAGACGTAAAGAGAAGATGTGCTGGCTGCCGATAGACCAGCCTTTGCTCCTGCCCGGTGACTCCACCTGCAGTGGCCGCAGACCCTCGCCGTGCTCCGTGGCTCAGCTGCTCGCGTCGCGCCTGCGGGGGATCGGGGACCAGCTGGAGAAAAGCTGGGCGGCCGGGGAGACGGACAGCGGCTTGAGCTGCGGGGGCAGAGGGACGGCGGTGGTGACCGGGCGAGGCCACCTGAAGAGCTTCCTGTGCACCGCAATACACATCACCGTGCTCGTGCTGGTCGTCGCAAGGCGACACCTGTAGGGCGCGAGGCGGCAACACCAGCAACAGGTGCGTAAACAATGTCACGTCACCTGCGCGAGTGGAGTGGAATTTGCCCAAGCCGTGACCTCCAGTCGTTACGAGGAAAATATCTTAAGAAAGTTATATCTATTTCTGTAGCGTTAATGTTGAAACATGTTACACGCAAAAAGTGATGTATTGAAACTAATTTTGAACACCTGACTGCATGAGTTTATAAAAAGTACATTGCAGGTTAATTTATGACACAGGTAGCCTACTTTAGGCTGAAGTTTTCTCTTCAACGCCTGTAGGTGGTGTTTCAGATAATTAGATGAATGGAAATGAATGTGAAAATGTAAAAGGTGGTTTATATCCTCTTAACAGTTAAAACTGTAAACTTCATAATTATCAGGGATAAAACACCAGACAAACGTCATACAATTACACTTAATTTAACCACAATTTACCATAACGTGAACCACATGTGCCTTTGGCCTATGCACTGAGCTATAAGCACTCGTTTTGGGATACAAAACAGGTGCTTTTCATTGCTTTTATTATACAATTATCAAGCATTCTGCTTTATGTCCACCTCTTTAGGTAGTTTTGCAATTTACAATTAGATCACATGAAAACCTCCACTTTTCACTTTTATGTTAAACGCCAAACGGGCAGCATTAAGCGTAGGCAAACTAAGTTTAGGACTGATTTTATTCGCATTTAAGGAATGTTTCATGAGAAATAGGCCTGAATGTTTTAAATTGTCGTGGTTGAGGACTGTCATTCATTTGTTTGATCTTTAGTGTGCGGTGTATCCTAAAATATCATACATTTGCATCTACTTTTGACCAGTTACTGTTGTCATTTAGGCCTGGTATCTGTTGTAAAAAAAAACAAAAAAAAACATATTGCATCGTCCTGGTCGAAAGGATGAAAACAGTCAGAATGAGAGAGGTAGATGCTAAATGCACAGTAGTTTTTGTCTCTTTTATGAACAACTGTTGGATGCTTTATGTAAATTAAATGCAAATATTATATCTTGCATAGATGGTGCCTTTAGGACCATGCACGAGGAACGGGCTCACATCATTTGCACTAAAAGCAAGGGATGCCGGGGAGTCGGAGGATGCGGTCCAGGAGAAGGTGTGTGCAGCGGGTGAAAGGCCGACAGAAGACAAGGTTAAATATGTGTTTCAGGGTCGGAACTTTGTGTCTGACTGCAACTCCATGTGTCATGAAGACTTACTCAGGCCCGGTTTGGATGCACTGCGAATTTAATAACGAGCTGACACGCCAATACCCAGCAGCCCTGCAGTCAGCCAGTTGCGCGGCCTGCCCCCTGCGTGACTCTCCGATTCTGTCATCCCAGTTACAAAACGGTGATGTAATCCTCCCCTGGTAGAGTGGAGGGAAAAGCTTACTAATAGGACTCCTTTGAATTTTCCCCTCCCACGATGTGAGTGCATCAGTGAGAAAGGGGTTCAACTGATTAGACCTTCAAATGTATCAGCACTCCTGAAAATGCACTGACACAGACCTGTTTTTAAGCTTCACAATGCACTGTACCTTTTTACATAAGCTATGCTGTAAGTGTACACGTCAATACGGAGAGGATGGACGTTTTTATAGATGTTTTCTACAGTGTTTAGATGATGTTTACACATTCTCCTGTGCTTTAGCATTATCTGTTGAGGGCAGTGTTAAGTGGCTTTTTTAATCATAAACAAGATACAGGACCTGTGCATAGGAAGCTATGCTGTTAATGCTGTCTGTGATTTCTGGAAATAAGCTTTCTCTGGTATATCAAGTGTAATGTGAGCAGAATTGCTGAAACTGTCTTTTATAAGTGTGTGCTATTTATACTAATGAAATATTTCATATGGATTTTTAGCAGTTAAAATAAAATCTTTCTGAAATAAATTCTCTGCAGGTGTCCTTACAATTACACAACAAATACCACTAATAAGGTGAGGTAAGGTGCTTTAATTTAAAACTGAAAACCTCTGCACTGCATTCTGCAGTAACATCAGACTGTATTATGCAAGAATGAATCATTCTAAAGGAAATTATTCATATTAATAATATTCATAGTGAATAACAATGGAAATCATCACACTGTCAATGGAAATGCAAGTGGAAAAGTATGAAAAGTCTTCAATATCTCCACCACACTTGATACAAATCTACAAAATGTTATGCCTGGCTGGCACCATAAACAATTACACTAGGTACCTTTTACACTCTGGGTAATTAAGTCACACACCACCTTATGTTCATTACTTAATATCTAAATAACATTACCTTTTGCTAACAAATAACTTTTTTTACCTGAAAGTAAATGTTTGAAGTGATTTCCTACTCATGCTCATTCTGTGAGACATTCGTATCACATTTTCAAGTTAATATTACAATTTTTAAAACCAAATACAACAACGTTAAATACCAACTGCAGAATTAAAAAAAAAGATAAATATAGACAATACACAGACATGACAAAAGAATGCAAACAAACAATTTACCACAAAGAGAGTGAACGCTGTGAATATTTAAATAAATTAAAGTAACAGTAACAGTTTTTATCATGTGTTTAGTGTAAAATAAAATGTTGTTTACAGTTTATAACAGTGGATAAGGCCCACATGTACACAAAAATGTATGAAAACCTGTATGGTAACAACATTCCAATTGCAAAACTGACAATATTGTAAAACTTCATTTAAAAGCACAGCCCTAATTAGATGCAAATCCCTTTTACTGGCCGGGTGTGGCTACACGTTTTGACAAATAACCGCAGGTATTAATTAGACAATGGATCTGTTTTTTAATAGAACTTCTTTGGATGTATAAAAACCTCTAAAAGCCCACTGGGACACTGCTTGAGCTAGTTCTAAGATACACATCGTTAGTTTGGTTATATTCTCTTCAATTCAGTTGTTCAGTTCATTTTACAGAGACCGTGAGCAGTATTATTCATTAATTTTTTACCTTGATGGTAAACACACAAAAAAAGAGGTGACTCCCTAGCTGCAATAAAGCCTGAATGTGTGTCCTCGATTATTTATTTTCCTTTAGTCTGTAAGGGTCCACCAATCAAAAGAATGAAAAAAGTTCCAAGAATCCAAGTTGGAAAAACTGTGGTAACAATCGGCTTTCATCATTTCTAAGACAGGCTACCTCTACTTTGATAAAGGGCTTTCTTTCTCTCTCTCTCTCCCTCTCTGAATGAAGTTGGCCTAGTTGTGCTCTGTGTTTCTCAGAGTCAGATCAAATGAACGATTCGTAATTGATATGTTATCTATAACAAGTATAATAGTTAATATTCATTAACAATTTGAAAGTAGCCAATTTCTCATCTTTGCTGAGCATGTGCAAAAGAAATTAAACGCCTCTCCCAAATATAGGCAGGGTGAGTTCAGTGACTGAAGCAAATAAAAGCCTGGGCTAAGTTTTACGGTAGTCCAGCTTTATGTTTTTTTTAAGTGATAGCATGTTGATTATTTGGTTTGCGCGTGTGGCCTCTCCCACCAGCTTCATAAGATGCTGAACTTATCCACACTGAAGACAATATAATTCACACATTCTGCTCTTTTCGAATGCCTCTAAAATAAAAGTCCCCTTTATATTACGTGTTATTTCAATTATGTTTACCCTGATTTGAAGACTTATTGCGCTAAACTAGACAAAGAAAGATGACACCCCATTGTCTAGCTCGGATTACAGCACAATCACATTTCTCCTCCTTTCTGCGTGCATATGATATGTTGTCAGAGCCTAGTAGATCTGGAAGTGAGCGGAGGTGGTGCCGTCCTTCCAGCATCGCAGGGTCTCGATGACAGTAGAGCGACACAGCGGACAGGTTCTTTCCCGGTCGAACCACAAACACAGGCACTCCTCGCAGAACACATGCTGCAGAGGAACACAATGTATGTAGCATTTTTGCAAAAGAAGAAAAAAAGTAGAAAATATTTCTGTGTGATCTGTGGTAAATCATTTAGCATTCACGGTTTAAATATCTTTACAGCATTGACTGTTATTAGAGATTGTTCCTGAGTATGAACACCACAGGAAGTTAAAGATCCACGCAGAGCGCCTTGTGTCTTATGAGCACAGTTCAGCAGCTGATACTGACATTTGACTGATACTGGCTGACCACTGATATTATCAAATAATGTATATGAAGGATAACAGTAGTAGTATGCAAAAGAAAACGCAAGTGAACGCACTGATTCTACATCTGGGTCTGTCAGTACACTGACA